CCTGAATACAATATATTAAAAACAGCAGGTTCTAATCTAGGATATAAACATACTGAACCCTCTCTTAAACTTATGAGTATTGCATCCAAAAGTAGAAATGAATTAGAAGAAGTTATTAAGTTAAAAAGAGAGGTTATGTTAGGCCGAAAGTTATCTAAAGACCATCTAGAAAATATGGCTAAAAATAACCCATTTAGAGTGCCGATAATTCTTTCTAATCTCGAAACAGGTAAGAGTGAAGAATTTACTTCTATGATAAAGGCTGCTCAGTTTTTAGGTGTTGATATGACTACTGTTAAGAGGTATTTAATGAATAATAAGCCATGCAAAGGCTATATGATTACTAAAGCTACTTCTATTTCAGATTCCTCTTCTTCCTCTAATCTAACTAATTCAAGACAGGCTGTATTAATAACTAATGATGTTTTAGGTATTACCAAAGAATTCTCTACAATGAAAGCTGCATACCAATTTTTGGGTATATCTCATAAACGACTTTTAAATTGTTTAAATAATAACGAGTCTTCGTTTTCAAATGGACAAGTTGACACCATTAAAGGGTACACTGTAACCAAGCTAGACTCCGTTAAACGAGAAGGTAAAGGTATAGAAGTTACTAATATTAATACAAATGAAGTCATTAAATATTCTTCGCTTAGTTCAGCAGCTGAAGCTATAGGAATATCTCCGTCTAGTATTTCAACAGCTTTCAGCTGTTGGAAACGAACTACTTCGTTTAGAGGTATTTACCTTTTTAAATTAATTTAAATTATCTGACATGAGAAAAAGTGGGTACAATTAATATATTACATATATCGTCAACCTAGTATATCTTTATATTTAAAAGATAATAGAACTAAACCTTTTAAAGGGAAATATCTGTTCAAACTAGTAGACTAGAATACTGAGGTATATGTTGTATACTTTATAGTACATCTCGTAATTGAAGTATATATCTTTAAAAATTTAAGTAAATAATATAATCTAAGGATGAAGTTGTTGGACGATTATCAGGTCACATGCTTTTAAATATCTTAAGTGGATTTACATACAATATTATGAGTTCTGGTATCATTTTCTTTATTCTAGGATTATTAC